TGAAGAAGGCGGTGAAAAGTGGCGGTCAGCGAGAGGCTCAAGAGCAATGTTGAGCACTTAAGAAGACGGTGAAAGGTTACGATCACCGAGAGCCTCAAGACCAATGTTGAGCGCTAAAGAAGATGGTGAAAGGTTGCGATCAGTGGCATACCAACTTGTTTTTGATTAGGGGGGGGGGGGGGGCAAAGCAGACCGTTCCCCCCCCCCCCCCCCCCCAGGACCGGGGGGCGGTGCCCTTGGTATTCCTTGGGCGCCGCCGGCCAGTATTTGTCCTGCCCAGTGGCAGCTGTTTCAGGGGGGGGGGGGGGGGGGGGCGAAACACGTACCCTGTCCCCTACTCTGAGAGCCGGGGGGGGGGGGGAGCAAGAGCCCCCTTGCCCCCCCCCCCCCCACACACACACACCCGGTTGGTACGCCCATGGCGATCACCGAGAGGCTCAAGACCAATGTTGAGCACTAAAGAAGACGGTGAAAGGTTGCGATCACCAAGAGGTTCAAGACCAATGTTGAGCACTAAAGAAGACGGTGAAAGGTTGCGATCACCGAGAGGCTCAAGACCAATATTTGAGCACTAAAGAAGACGGTGAAAGGTTGCGATCACCGAGAGGCTCAAGACCAATATTAAGCACTAAAGAAAACGGTGAAAGGTTGCGATCACCGAGAGGCTCAAGACCAATATTAAGCACTAAAGAAGACGGTGAAAGGTTGCGATCACCGAGAGGCTCAAGACCAATATTAAGCACTAAAGAAAACGGTGAAAGGTTGCGATCACCGAGAGGCTCAAGACCAATATTAAGCACTAAAGAAGACGGTGAAAGGTTGCGATCAAACCGATTCACGATGAATGTTGTCACTTTTACCTTGCATCGCATCAAGCCGGTTAGTGTTACCCTTTAGGTAGGAGTTCCAAACCACGCACCCGTATTAACAAAAAGTGCGCTTATGGGAAGGATTTTTTTGCAAAAGCATAACGCTTGAATGTGACGAAAAAGCGTTACACGCGGGCCAAGGAACTTTAAGGCTGAATAGCCCGTAGCAGGCAACGGATAATCATCTAGAGCACATAGAAGGGATAATCAGTCATATTAATCCGTACATAATCATAACTAAGAACAAACGATCGAAGCCAGAGATATTCATGAAGGAGCCCAGCGGGAATCGACCCCCGGACCATGCGATCCGCAGTCCAACATTTGGGCTCGTCACCACAAGCACTCGATGAATGAGAGCGCAATCTGAAATGACTTGCCACCGGTGGTCGCCTCCATTAACACGCGACGGTCCGCGGCGAGTGATGTTTAGTTTAGGCCGCAGGTGACCGTCGGAGGCGAGTTGAACTTAGTCCAACATACTTAGTCCGCAGTCTCCCGTCATCGCCGTGCCATACTTAGTCCAGCCGTAGCCTCCCCTATACTCACAAAGCCTGGCAGTTCGACGACGGAGCGATAGAGTGCCCGGTCGCAGATTTGGAGCGCGAGGATCTGGTAGCACAGAGCATCAAAGAGCCATTTCTCGAAGAACCTGGACGTCAGCGCACAGCTTTTACAGCGGCGAGGACCCGAAACACACTTATCCGCTCAGGAGAAGTGTGTTCCGGCGTCTCGGCGCAGCGGGGCGCCAGTCACGTGGCTCTCCTATCAACCGTTGTCAGCCGCTGCAGCTTTTCTATTTCGGCGGCCGCTTCTTGTGGCGATCTGCCAGGCTTTGTCAGTATAGGAGACTATGGTTCAGCATACTTAACCTGCAGATTACCTAGCGAGTTAACTTAGTCCAGCATGTTTAATTCGTAAATGTGAGCTTTTTAAATGTCATCGCATTTAAAAAGCTGACACTTATTATGACCGCAAAGGGTATGCGAGACTCTGTCTGTGTACCACGCATTCCCAACTCCCGGGGAGGCGACGCCATCCAGCAAAAGAGGAGTGAAGTAGCGAAGCGGGGTGCTACCACTTACCAAAGTTTGGTTTGAAAACAGGCACGACCCAGCGGTCGGAATATATAGGAACGGGTAAAGCATGCACAAGGTTGGCAATTGAGGAAAGTCTCTCGCATTTTAGATTAGTGTTTAAATTGTTCTGCAGAATTGGAAAGAAAAAATAAATAAATTACATTTCAAATTACTTCAAAATGAGTTTAAAGCCATGCTGTGTGGATTTGGGACCGTCTTCTAACCCCCAAAAACGAAAGATGGACTATGGACGCAGCATTCTGTAGCTACCCCCCGAAGGCGGTCACCCAAAACACGCAGCGGACCTCCACAATTCGTTCAACTCGAAGAGGAAGCGGGACCGTGGGCGAGACAGCCCTGGGGACCAATCCATTCCGGCGTCGGCTACGCAATATTTAGTATGAACGGATATTTTATTTTTCTCTTATTCTATGTAATAGTATGGATCTCGGTACACCCTAAAGAGAGATAACAAAAGTAACGTAAATCTAATTAAATCACAAACACAATAAAGCAAACATAGTCCCAGAAAGTCGAACCAACAAACAGACGACGCTGCAAAAAAAAAAAAAAAAAAAAAAAAAAAAAAAGTTCTGCGAGCGTAGGGAGGCGCAAAAAGTGAACGCAGCAAAGCGGAGCAGCTTTTATTATTTCGAAGCGGTGCGCGATTTATTGGGGGGAAAGAAGGGGAGGAGGTTAGGGCTCGGGCGCCCTCTCGCGGGACTTCCAATCACCCGGTGTTTACCCAAGCACCTTGCCTTTTCTTTCAACGACGGCAGGAAAGCAGGCAAGCAAGCAGGCAAGCGGAGAGTCGAGTTTATGTCATTCCCGTCTTTGCCGACTATTTTGTCTCCTTCTCTTTTTTTGTAGCTTCCGTGGAAACCATTCCAATTCCTTCCGCGCAGGGAAAGACAGCTTCACTTTTTTTATTATTTTTTTTTTTTTTATTTTTTTTACTGTGCGTTTAGGATTTTTCAGAAATGCCTATCCCTACAGCCTCTGCTTCGTGGGGATTTTTATTTGCTATTTTATTTGTGATTTTCTTTTTAGGCCTTGCCTTACGATTGTAGCTTCCTTTGTCTGAAAAAAAAATAAAAAAAAAGAGAATGAAAAAGTTTCGGGCGCCCGTAATCATTACGTAATGCGAGTTTTCCCTCCCCTTTCCCCCTTTTTTTTTGTATGTCCGTAGGTCTGTTTTACGATCTGCATGTCGGTAACCCTGACTGAGAAAGCCAGCGCACGCACACACGCACGCACAGGCGCAGCGTACTCCGCGTCTATGCTGCCGCCGCCATCTTCACGCTAACCGGAAGAATTGCAGTTTCTTTTGTGACATCTACGCAGCCGCTTTTGGGAAGAGATTGAAGCACCCGTTTTGTTTTCTTTGTTGCTTCTTCGACTTCTTTTTTCCCACTTCTATTCTTTATACACGTATTTCACGGAACAAAGAAAGGCAAACGGAAAAACATACCCGCACACCAAAATATAATCTCGAGTTTGCCTTCCCGGCATGCCACTGTATAGAGCTTCCTTTAAAGACAAGATTTCTTTTTGTCGTGTTGCGCGTCGACTGTATTCGCAAGACTCGGTGTTTGGTGGTTGTCTTGTTGTTGTTGCTGCCGTTGTTTTATTTGTTTTTATATGCATATACATATATACTATAGACTCAGAGGTTCGGTGTGTTTGCACGCTGTTTATTCGTCCCCTGTGGAATGTGCTCGGAGTCCTGAATACAGCTCGGGGAACTAGGGTTTCTTTTCCAACGAGAGAGCGACGTGGATGGCTCCACGGCCGCACGTTACAGCGCGCTCCGTGCAACTCGGCGCGGTATAGCGAAAGGCGCCGTCGACTGCCGACTGAGGCAGAACCCCTGATTGTGCCCCAGCGACACCACCTCGGAATTGAGAAACGGTCCTCGCCGATCTAGACGACGTGAGGATAATGCCACACAAAGGACATCCACGTCTTTTTCTTTTTATCCGCGCGTGCGCGCGCTCTTTGTCCGCGCCTCTTTATGTTGACGTCTGCTAGTCCTGGACTGTTCTGGAGACCCTCACTTTCGTTTTACTGTTCGCGACGTTCATTGGCTGGGCCCGTTGCGTACAACGCAATGTAGTTTACTTCTTTTTGCGTTTGTTGGTTGCGGTGTTGTAAAGCGGCACCTCGCCCCGTGTTGTAAAAGAAACTTGGTCCGGTGAGTGGACGACGTGTAGTTGAGGACCGCCCGTCACGTACTGGTGTTGATACACTTTAACGAAGATGTGCCGCGTCTGCGCAAGTCCTTCGTTGGGTATGGCGTTTGCGATGATCGCCGCGTTGCCATGATGGAGGAGTCGAACGGAACGCTGATGTCTTCGATGTGTTCGAGTGTCACGATCTTGTATTGACTAGAACGAGGACCGCAATTCAATGTTTGTGTCTCGCCATTCTCTTCGTCTGTAATATTTGATGATGAAAAGATATTAAAAAAAAGAGGCGTTGGCCGCTGTGTACTTTTTGTTTCATTGTGGCGCTTTCGTTTCGATGGCGATTCGCCATCACGGTAGTGCACTATACCTCAAATGAAGAGTGGCGCAAGAAGGCAAAACTTGTCCGTAATATCATTGATTATGATTCAGGGTAATTTTTTTGAAGTATAGTATGTAGGTAGTAGTTGTCGGAAATATAACTCAAAGGAGAAGCGGGGAGGGGAGAAAGGGAGAGCATGACGGGTAAAAAAAAAAAAGATATTGACTGAGAGGAATAGTGCGCAGTCGCCTTAGGCAACGCAGTAGGTGCGCACTTTCAAGAATCCTTTCAGATGTACTTCGAACTCTCTATCTCTACCCCTTTTCCTTTTGTTTATCTTTCTGGTCCTTATGTGTTACAAATAGTGTAAGCATGTGTGCTTGAAGTGATAGATATATCAGGTATGCAAAGCCAGCGAAAACTCGTACATGGTTAAAATGTCCCAGTTACCAAAGAAGCGTTTCGTAGTAGTCTTCGTCTGAATCATGCCGAACATTACAACGTTGTGCTTTGAATTTAACGAGGGCCCCCATATGTTCTACAGGTCAACCTCAGGCCGCATTGCTGGGCAAGACACGGCGACCACGAACGGCGTTCACGAGTCAGCAGCTTCTGGAACTGGAGAACCAGTTCCGTATGAACAAGTACCTGTCCAGGCCCAAGAGGTTCGAAGTGGCCACCAATCTCATGCTCACCGAGACGCAGGTAAGTTCACATACCAGACAACAGCAAAACCTGTACATTAAGCCGGTGTTCATCTGCTATTACATCTTATATAAAAAAAAAAACAGCTTGAAGACACTGTCGGAGGTGTGTTTCCTTCTTGTATGACGGCCTTGTCACATTAGTCATAAAACTTGTCTGCGGAATATGTTTTCACCATACATATACATGCTTTGAAAATGCTTGAGCCGTCAGATAATTCTGACTTCATGTCAGCGGCAAACACCGTGCCTTTTGTGCACTGGTGTAAGTGCAGCCTTTAAGCTTGGGAAATTAGAGCTGCGCTCTAATTTCGCCTTACGTAGATTTGTAAACGTCTTTCATTTTTTTATGTTGGAGGCGATTGGCCGACAGAGGCCAATTCTGCAAAAAAGACTCGATAAAATTGCGAGACTTGAGGATTCCTACTGTCACATAATATTATCGAGGACCCTGTGTTTGGGCGGTTGCACTTCTGTCTCGTGGCATAGTTCTCAATTAAAACGGCAGCTTACGTGTGCTGGTCAACACGAAAACCGCTATAGTTTCGGAATATGTAACAAAATCGTCTACACCAGTCTAAACTCAGCATTCCGTTGTGAAATTGTGGAAGACCTCATACATCTGAAAGCATGAACGATTCCCGAGAACAAAGGATTTTTACTCCTAAAAGGTGAACTGATGTGTTGTAACACAAAACATCACCCAGCTGTGTGAGGATGTTTTTAATTAGTATTAATTATTAGACGATGATGTTACAATAGTGTCCGATTTCTGGCTAACAGCATTGTTCGTTATGTGTCTGGAGTTTGGTGAATAAAGTGTACAGAAACTTTGGGACCTCTTAACATCTATGCGCACCCAGATACCCCTTCTCTTTCGTGGAGTCTCCTTTACATCAATTTCCTGTCCTCCTTTTTTACGTGCTTTTTTTCCCCTTCTTTTCTCGATCCCTCCTCGTTTTGCCTGCCTCCTTGGATTATTTTCTGAATCATCTGCTTTCCTCTTACGAACTTGTTTCTATTTATAGACAAGATAATCCTACGTTCCAGGTGAAGATCTGGTTCCAAAACAGGCGGATGAAGTGGAAGCGCAGCAAAAAAGCCCAGCAGGAAGCCAAAGCCCGGTCTGCGGACAAGAACGCCGACCAGTGCCAACCGCAGCACACGCAGCAGACCCAGTCCCAGTCGTCCCTGCCGTCCTCCCAGCCCCAGACGACGACGCCCAGTCGCCATCCTCCTCACCATCGACCGCCCAGCATGATCGTGTCCAGCTCGGAATATCCGGACTCGCCAACGTCCAGAGACCTGCAACTACGACTGCCGCCGACAGACACCGAGAGCATGTCGTCACGTGGCAACAGCGACGGTGAACCCGACATGGTTCTCAGTTCCGGTGTAGACTCTACCAACATGGCGCTGTCCCTGTGTTCGCCGCAAGGGGCTCACCATCACCGAAACGCTGATCTCATCTACCGACCGTACGTCGTGTGACACGTCGTCCTCCTCGCCGCCGTTGGTAGGTAGAAACATCCGCCAGAAGACGTCATCACCACGGGCATCGAGTCGTCCTAAGACACCTCACTGAACAGTGACCATTTACAAGTTCCTGCCAATCCTGCTAGTCGCAATTCGTCGAGCACCGATGATCTCAAGATGTGGGTTTGAAGATGAAATGTTTCTTATTACGTGACATCACGTGAACACCTGACACAAAGAAAATCAATGACAACCAGAGGAGCTCATGTGATGAACTTGGCATGACGTTCGTCCTTCCTGGTTCTCTGTGCGCATCGTTGGTTTCAACGTCTCCGGCACTTGGACATGGTGCATGTGTATGACTTTAGAAACTTCTGGTGGTGTGGTGCGATTCTAGTCAGCAAGATCAGAGGCAACAAGATGAGCGACGGGCCTGTTCCATCTGGAATCCTGGGGCATCGATGGCGTCTTTTGAGTATTCATCATCAGGGTATGCGACACGCAACAAAGAAGACTTGTTGGGCCCTTCGATTTTCATCATCGTGAGTGCTGCGCGCCGCGCTGACGAAAACGACAAGCCTTTCGCCATTTCTTTTCCTACCTAAAGTCGGGTCCTGCAAATGTTCAGTTGCCACCGGTGGAATGCAAGTGCCCTCAAATGCATTTAGAGCTTCTGGCCATTCACTCAGGCTTGAGTGGAACTCAGTTTTTCGACTACATCATAGGCTGTGTCGTGAAGTTAGTTATTTATTATATGAGTTCTTATTGAAGCTTAGGAGCAAATCACGTATGCATTCCTGGATGACGGAAGGTACACAAGTTAGAATAAAAGCTTCGCTATGCTATAACACACCAGCATGTGCAATACATATAGGCCGCGTACCAGATTTGGGGGATAAATTCAGCACAACGTACAATACGCTAAGACAAAACATACAAAAGTGATCGATTCCCATAAAAGATGTCAGACGTACCTCAAGTTGTGTTATATTAAACCAGTATGGGCAGTTCTTAAAGATTTTATTTTAGAGATCTTTTAGAACACATTGAAATGTTCAAAACGAGCACGATCAGCTGTAAACTTGCGAGTTCCAAGTGACCTTTCATGCAGACGTCTACTGACGCCAAGATGATTTATGTGGACTGTCTATGTGACGCATGCGCTAAGGCAACCAGTTTCAAATGACTCATTAGCATCGACATCATCGCATACCTCAAACTGTACATAGTTGTTCATTAAATGTTCTTCTAGAGGTATTGAAGTATTGAAACTCTCATTCGTTTTCGCCCAATTTTCCAAAGGATTGAGGCAAAGAAATGCTCATTTACCTGGAGTTCTAAACATTACGCAGCCCGCATAGCTTAGATAGGCGATTACTTAGACGTTGTTAGTTTTGTCGATCGTTTAGGTAATCGATTTTTTTTTTTTCAACTGTGAAACAGTTAAACCAGAGTTTCTGAGCTTTTTCAGCATTTACTCCAAAGACCAGATACAAGATGTCAACATGGGAATCTTGGTGGATTGTGAACTTCAACAACACGCGGCAGAAACAACTCCAGTAGATGAACTCTGCGCTGCGTGTCTATAGATATTCACCAAATGTTCTTGTTTTCTGGTGCCATTTCCTGTCGCGGAATCAGAAACGCTCATGTTGATGTCTGCGAAGAATTCCGCTGCCGTATTATAGCTGTCCTGTTCGCATTCTTAAAAGTCTGCAAAAAGTAAAAAAAAAGAAAATGATCACTTTTATTTCCCGAGATAGAGCTCAGATGGGAAACTGTTGCAACCATTAAAAGCTTTAAGAATTTGCACATTACAACATGCGTAAAAAGGGCGACATGGTATCGCCGGTTTCGTCTAGGAAACTTCAAAAGTGCCAACAAGAGCCGCTAAACATCACGATGGAATAATGTTGAAACGAGCATTCCTTTTTTGTGTGTGTGTTGATGAATATAGGGGGAGGTAAAGTAATCCACGATTCAGTGGCATCAAAAGAAGCAAGAATGCAGTCCTGGTTTTCTTTTCGAACGATTACATTTAATACTTCAAATACTCATGATATCAATTAATTAACGTTCTTCATTTCCATTAAGGTTGACACAAATGGCTTTCTTTCGCTTTCCTGTCCTATTTGACCCTCAACGCCCAACACGCCTCCCGCGGAGAGGTAATATGAAATGGCAATTCAGCATCACAGAAATGCTTACGCTGCAACGCTGCTGTTTCTTTCTTGAAAGCATCAGTTTACATTTTTCTTTGTTCATTTTCTGATTACTGCGATGTTTACTTTTGACTTTTGTTTTTACGAACAGATGGAGTTCTCGAATACCCAGTACCAGTTCACATCAGATAATCCTGTCTATCCAGCCTTTATAGAGGGTATTCCACGTAACCTGAGCAAAGGTTTAAAATATTTTGGTGCATTTTAGGAAGACGAAACCAAACTAATTAGTTTGTTCATTGTTTGGGGTAAGTCAGGCTATTTTTGTATTTTGCCAAATTACCTAATTAATTAAGATTAATTCATTAACTTTTGAAATATTCAATTAAGAGGAAAAGTTCCGATGTTAAAGTTTTAGAGCGTCCTCAGAAACATTCAATTCGGTGGTTTTTATTGAGAAACCTTAACATTATTTTGTGTGGGCTTCGAAAAAGTGTGCGAATTATAAAAAAGAAAGAAGTGGGACTCCGCGCATTTATACCTTGTATTGCAGCGCCCTCAGCAGTGGCTTGGATAAACTAGGTCTGAATGCTAAATAAAGCACTGTTGACTAGGCACTGTTGACAAATTCGCGTTTTTTTTGGTTTTTTTTAATATTTCAGGCACTTTTTTAAGGCCCGAAAAAACGAACCGTGTTAGAGGTTTCTAGATAAAAACTACTGAATTAGATGTTTTTGAGGACGTTCTACAACTTTGTCATTGTAACTTATGCTCTGTATTCAATATTTCAAAAGTTAATTAATTAATCTAAATTAATAATTAATTGGGCAAAAATACTAAAACATAAAGGCCTGATTTGCTCCAAACAATGAACAAACTTACTCGTTTGGTTTTGTTTTCCTAAAACGTACCGAAACATTTTTAAACCTTGGCTGAAGTTACGTGAAATATCCTGTATATATAGGGTGTTTTTTTAAGCTTTACAGATTTGTTTAAAAAGAAAGCCGTGAAAGTTACATTTATGCGGTTTGTGCAAGTGAGTGAAACGGCCAGGGCGACATTATGTGGGTGGGTAACATTTGCGGTAAGTCAACTAATTAATTAGGGTTCGTTAATTAACTTTTTATCTAGTGAAAATAGACATCTGGTTCCAATTAGAAACTTACTGAGCATCGTCGAAAACCACTAAATCAACTATTTTAAGAACGACTTGAAGCTGGAGGGAAACTCAGGGGCGCGCCAAAGTTACCACTCGTGAAGCAAACGCAAAGCTAGCAGTGGAGGAACGCGGTTGATAAGATTATCATCGCGTTCCGCCACTGCTAGCTTTGCGCCTGCTTCACGAGTGGTAACTTTAGCGCGCCCCTGAGTTTCCCACGAGGCTCAGATCGTTCTAAAAATAGTTGATTTAGTGATATTCGATGACGCTCAGTAACCTTCTAATTGAAGCCATACGTCTATTTTCACTAATTAAAAAGTTAATTAACGAATTTTAATTAATTAGCTGACTTTCGCAAAGATTAGCCATCCACACAATGTCCCCCTGGATGTATAACTCAGCTGCACAAACCGATTAAGTGTAACTTTCACAGCTTTTGTAAAACAAATCTCTAAAGCTTAGAGAAAAAAACACCACGCCGTAGCGCGTGGCCTTCGATCATGCTACGTTACCCCGAGGCTGAAAAAACAGCGTGTGGGAGAGGGGGTCTGCGAAGGTGTGCACATCGGAGTAAGCGGTGTTGAGTAAGCGCACACGCAGCCTCCTCTCCACTTTACATTTTCATCAGCCTCAAGGTAGCGCTGCATGTATTGAAGTCCGCGCTCTCCGTCGTTCCCACTCACACTGTTCGCTATCTATAGTACACAGGATTTAATTGTCAACTTTATAACCACCGCATTTGCCTCTGCAAGCTTCCGCATCCTAACAGCTGCAGCATGCCCAACGCGAACCTCGCACGTGCCCCAAACAAGCCACATCTACGCTGCGGCAGTTTGCTCGACTCTCGATGAATACACATGCCTCGCGTTAAGGATAAGCTCAAGATCTTCCCCAGGTATGCCACCTGAACCGCACCTCACCAATTTCAACGCATATTTTAAGATTTACACCTCCACCTTTGCAGTGTCCTTGCACGTCGCTCACCCCTCTCTCTCTCTCCCACCGCTTCTTCTTAACGGAAACAAACTATGCTTACTCCACAACGCCCCTCCACCTCATCCTGCTCCTCCTCCTCTAATCCCGGATGCCTCATAAATGGTAAAACTGCAGCTTTTTCAGGTAGGCTTTCCCTCACGCAATGGTATAATGCAGAGAAGCTCGTCCACAGTCTATGTCAGTCGTCTGACAGGTCTCATACTACGAGAAACCTACACCGCCAGAGGACCGCGAAAATACTGAGTGACTTCCAATAACTCGGCAATCGCACACTCTGCGGTATCAACTTAAACAGCTACCCCGGATCCGGTAGTGCCCAGGAACTTTGAAAGTAATCGGGAAATGGAAGCTATACCACAGAAGCGCCAAAGCCGACAAATCCGGGCGGTCGCGTGACGTCGAAATAAAGTTTAGAGGCACCGTACCTTGTGGAGAGCATTTAAATTATGGGTTCAAAACCATTTCAGGTTTTTTATAAAGCTGTAATTTACCAGCGTCCAATTGTGTAATCACTAATGGATGATGCGCGTCGAGTGCCCAGTTTTATCACACGCTGCTTTCTTATCATGTTGGACCTTCAGCGCCTTTCAAGCAATTCAGGTTTTGACTTATCAGCAAACTTATTTATATCTAGAACGTTCGCAAGGGTAATCAGTTAGTGCGTGTGAGAGTCGTTATTACACATTAAGGAACGCGATTGTAGAGTAACTAGAACATTCTCAAGGGTAATCAGTTATTGCGTGTGAGAGTCGATCTTACACTTAAAGAAATGCGGTTACCGAATAACTGGCGATATAAAAAAAAAAAGAATGCCCGAATAAACGATGTTTTCTCACAAAGTATTTCCTAATAAAAGGTGCCGCCAGATAAGGATTCCGGGTAGGAAGGATTCTTTACAGACCATGGTCTGGGGAAAATGGACTCTAGATAAAATATTACGGACAGAATTCGATGGAAAGCCCTCCCTGCGAGAATGATATTACAAGATAAGCCTGTCTCGTAAGAGAGTGCACACTGTTTCATCGCTTATAGTGCTTCACCTAGGTGAAATATATACACACAATGAGCTTTGCTCGCACGCGCGGTCTACAAAAGTTTACAAAAGAGAGTTATTGCGTAGGCTCCAAACGCGATCTATACGGCCCAGTAAACAAAGATGGCAACTAGCAGAGGGCGAATAAATAGTATTCTGGCATTGACGTGGGCAGAATAAACCATTCGAAAAATATCAGTCCCGTAAAAACTAACTCTATCTGATAAACGAAAGCCAGATGATAGTGTTAAGCACGTTATACCAAACAAAGTGATGAAAAAACTAGGATGTTTAAAGCGATACAGAAATAAAAATTGTGATGCACCCCTCACGTTCATAAATAAGTTAAACGTGATGAGTAATATCTGCCAATGACAATCACACGCTTGTGGTTTGGACGGATGACTATATTTAGTCCACATCTAAAGATTAAAATAGACACTAGAATTTCGTTTTAGCAACCCTTTAAACCCCTTCCGCGCCCACCCTTCCCCCTCCACTCCAAAAAAAGACAGAAAACAAAATGCGACAAAGTGTTGCCCTATCAAACATTCACTGGACTAGGTGGTCATATTGTTACTGTGTTGAAACTAACGCGTTACAAGTAACGACGTTACTGGCAACGCGTTTTTTTTTTCGTAAGGTACTAACGTACTCGTTAGAATCCCAAATAAGTAACGAGTAAAGTAATATCGTTACGATTTTACGGTATCTGCTATCAAATTACGTTACCCATTATCCGTTACTTTTGATTAAAAATGGCAGCATGATAGTTCGAAAGCAAACTAATTTTTATTCTGCGCATTACAAAAAGTGGCAAAAAAACCGCAACAAAGCTATGTATAAGCGACGTCATTTCAAACTCCCTCGCATGACACTTTCAACGTTCCCCCAACCGGGACCAAAA